CCCCCCCCTCCTCCTCACACCCAAAGTCATCTATAACTTAGTTGATTTTATAATATTTTTTAAATGGTAAAATTTAATAAAAGATTCTTTATTGATAGCTGAAAATAAAGATAATTTAATAGTAGTTAATATTAACATTAAGAATGAAGAATGAAGAACATGAAGAATACTAATATTAAAATTAACAACATGAAGAATATAGAACTCCAATGACTTAAATTGTATTTTGTAGTAAAAGACACTCAAAGCATAGATTCAATAAGTTTTTTAGTAGTAAGCAACCCGTATATTTCTTTCAGAGTTTAAAATTGTCTGATCGCTCATACATTAGTATCTGAACAAAAATAATGTGCGAGAGTTTAAGTTTAATTTTTAGTTGCATAATTGAAATTAAAGAGAAAAAAATTCATATAGCTATGTTCTTAAGAGTAATGTTAAAATAGCATTAGATGTTTTCTATGGCAGGAAGCTCTTGATGTGGAGGTAGTAGGAAGCTCTTGATGTGGAGGTAGTAGGAAGCTCTTGATGTGGAGGTAGTAGGAAGCTCTTGATGTGGAGGTAGTAGGAAGCTCTTGATGTGGAGGTAGTAGGAAGCTCTTGATGTGGAGGTAGTAGGAAGCTCTTGATGTGGAGGTAGTAGGAAGCTCTTGATGTGGAGGTAGTAGGAAGCTCTTGATGTGGAGGTAGTAGGAAGCTCTTGATGTGGAGGTAGTAGGAAGCTCTTGATGTGGAGGTAGTAGGAAGCTCTTGATGTGGAGGTAGTAGGAAGCTCTTGATGTGGAGGTAGTAGGAAGCTCTTGATGTGGAGGTAGTAGGAAGCTCTTGATGTGGAGGTAGTAGGAAGCTCTTGATGTGGAGGTAGTAGGAAGCTCTTGATGTGGAGGTAGTAGGAAGCTCTTGATGTGGAGGTAGTAGGAAGCTCTTGATGTGGAGGTAGTAGGAAGCTCTTGATGTGGAGGTAGTAGGAAGCTCTTGATGTGGAGGTAGTAGGAAGCTCTTGATGTGGAGGTAGTAGGAAGCTCTTGATGTGGAGGTAGTAGGAAGCTCTTGATGTGGAGGTAGTAGGAAGCTCTTGATGTGGAGGTAGTAGGAAGCTCTTGATGTGGAGGTAGTAGGAAGCTCTTGATGTGGAGGTAGTAGGAAGCTCTTGATGTGGAGGTAGTAGGAAGCTCTTGATGTGGAGGTAGTAGGAAGCTCTTGATGTGGAGGTAGTAGGAAGCTCTTGATGTGGAGGTAGTAGGAAGCTCTTGATGTGGAGGTAGTAGGAAGCTCTTGATGTGGAGGTAGTAGGTTTTTCTTGAATTGGTAGAAGAACTATAATTTCTTTTTTATTTTTTGTTATTTTATCAATATTTTTTATTTTCCCTATTTTATCAATATATGGAAAAAATATATCTGAAAGGTAAAATTGTGTAAATGTAAAACAAATAATTTTTTTTTTGACACAAGCTAATGCTGAAATGTTGTTTACAAAATGTTTCACACATTGTTTTTTGTGTTTTTCAGAATTTAGAAAAAGAACTTGCTGCAAGTATATCAAACTCTAAGATGCAGCAGTTAAAGACAAAATATGATGATTTAGAGAACACTAATGTACAGAATAAAGTATTTATATTTTGCACATTTTCAGCAACATTAAAAATGTTGTAACATTTTAAAGTTATTTCTAAAATACTGAAACAAAATAATTTTGTAATTTTAAAATTATTTGTTAATGTATGAGTTTTTTAATATTAATTATAAAAACATTCACTTATTTTTTTAACATATCTGTTTTAATTTTTGTCTTTTTTATTTGTTTGAATAAAAATATTTAAAAATAAGTGCAAAAATTTATTTCACAGGAGCTTAAAAAGAAATTAAGCGATGAAAACAAAGTAAAGTCTGAACACATACTTGCAATGGATGCAGAAATGAAAAATCTTCGAAAAGAAATTGCAGTAAGTTTAAATTTAGTTTGAGTTAATAAATTAAGTTTGTATTATACAGATGTTTAAGATTGTCAAACCAAATTTAGTTTTTTTATATTGATTATAAAATTATAAGGTATTCCAAAAGGAGCAACTAAACCACAATAATGAAATAGAAAAAGTACTTAAAGAAAATGCTTTGCTAAAAGAATCAATGAAGCTGAGTTTAACAAAAATTGAAGTAAATATGATTTACATTGAGATATATACATTATATATTGATATATATATATATGTATATATATATATATATATATATATATATATATATATATATATATATATATATATATATATATATATATATATATGTATATATATATATATATATATATATATATATATATATATATATATATATATATATATATATATATATATATGTATATATATATATATATATATATTTATACATTTTTGATATGTTGTTTAAGTATTTTTAAGATTTATCTTTATTTTTTTATTTTTTATTATTGTAGACAAAATATTTTATGTCTATTTTGATCTTGTAATTTCTATTATAAAAATTACTTTGAATGAGAAATCTTTTATTTTTCTTTCAAATTGTTATTCTCTTTCAAAGTCATAGCTCTGAATAGTTTCTGAATAGTTAAATAGTTTCGGCCCAAACCTGGTCTAAATATTCATATATATATATATATATATATATATATATATATATATATATATATATATATATATATATATATATATATATATATATATATATATATATATATATATATTTGTGTGTGTGTGTGTGGTGTGTGTGTGTGTGTGTGTGTGTGTGTGTGTGTGTATGTATGTATATTTAAATAAATAATTTTTTTTTCTAATGAACTCTGAATAAAATTCTATAAATATAACTGTAAACTTTTTTTTCAAGACTGTTTTTTATTTTTTACTTTTTCAATATTTTTTATTTTTTACTTTTTACTTTTGTCAATATTTTTTTATTTTTTACTTTTTCAATATTTTGCTTTAATATATTGTGATCAGTGTTATTGCTGTGTTATCAAGTAAGATTGTTACAACGTATCAACAATTATAACCACAAATATAATAATGTCCCCAGCTTTGTTTTATCCACCTCCGCGTTTGCCCTTGTCAAATATCAGCCTTGGTTATTTACTACCCACAGGTCAGAAATTTACCTTTTAGGTTTGTTTTGAAACACCCCAAATATTTTTATAGGTTCTATTTAAGAAACCTTTAGGTTACACAAAACTGTAAAAATTAAAATCCTGCAGGTGGCACATTTTTAGAAAAGGCATTTAAAGGGGCAGGCTTATGAATTATCATGTTCAAGTGAAGAAACTTCCAGAAATGCTGCAAAACTTTTAATTTTTACTAATACTAATTTCAAATAATCATGATCTGCCAAAAAAATAAAAAAATAAATTATTTTGGGAACATAGAAAATACAACGATTTCGGGGCACCAACCCCAAATATGGCAAATAAAATAATTTGAAAAATTTTTTTGTACAATTTTAAAGTAAATGAAATTTTATTCAAAGAATTCAAAATTTAAAAAAATATACATTACAATTCAAAAGTTATGACCAAAAAACGTTATATTCCTCCTCCCAAAAAAATGAGGAGGGTTTATATTTTAACTTCTAAAGTACATAAGATTTTTTTAAGAAACTTGAAATTTCATAATGAATTTCGATTTGGTTTATGAAATTATAAAAATATTTTTCAAATGCACATGTCCCCGCTCAATCAGAGCAGGTGGCCTCAAATTTTGAGGTGTTTTTGTTCTCAGATTTTATTTCACAGTTACTTTTTGAACACATTTATCTTTTTATAACCATATGATACTATGTGATTATATGACTTTGTATACAAAAGATTTAGTCTTCAAAATGCCTGAATGTCATAAGCCTCTTTATTGCTAATAAACACTTTTTGTTTAGCTTCACTAAAAAGAATTTAATAAAATATAGCTTAATAACTACATGTTCACGCTGGAAAAAGTTTCAGCAGTTTGTTTACTTTTTTCACCGTGCTTCAAGCTAAGGACAGATACATTAAATCTATTTACAACAGGCTTTATTTTTTGGTGTGAGGCTTCTGTTGATTGTTCATTATATCTTGACAGTGAGCAGCTGTGCATATCTATGAAGGCTTCTAGGTGAGAACTTAATGCATGTACTTTTCATGTCACACTGAGGTTTTTTTGCAAGAACTAAAATATATAAGTGAATATAAAGGAAATATTTAAAGTAAAAGAAGTTATTAAACATTATAAGTTTATATCATACTTACTTCTGAACAGTATGTTTGAGAATGTTCAAAACTATCTGTAAAGTCTTGGATAAGCTTGTGATGCGGTGGATCTAGTGGTTCACTAAATGTACCAGTCACAACTTTGTCAAACTTCCTTAATGTATCAATTAAAGGAAACAGCTCTATCGGAATTACTAATGCAAGACTGTTTACATTTTTAATTATTGCTCTTGTGGCATTATCATCATATGTACCTCCATGATAACCTTTCCATATAATACTAAGGCTATTAACTCATTTTTTAAAACCTGCTCAGAGAGATATAATATAATTACAAATGTGATTTACCAAATCCATGAGAAGATGAAGTTCTGGTAAAGGTATTAAGCTTATGACTAGCTTCTCAGGCTCATCTTCCTTTACAAGACAAGACTTCACAACATTCTAAGTGAAAATAAATGAAATACAATGTTAAGTTTTGTATAAAAAGCTCTTTATTAGACTACAAATATATAAAAAAACTAACCTTAAATAATAACCTTAAAATTCATCTTTTTTTTCTCAGAAAAGCCTGCATCAGCATACTGACGGAAACAGTTATCTAAGTCTCCAAAACTTCTGAGATTACCAGATTTCAGAACAGCTTCCCCGCCACAGCAGGAACAACTGTTTATTCCACTGAGAGTCTATAAATATTTTTGAGTTTTAAAAATATTTTTAAATTAAAAAAAAAGTTCATTTAAAGAATAATTTGTAGTGATTTAAGTAATTTAAATACCGAAATTCCCAACAAAATGTTGATGAGTTTGAGGTCTGATGCTAGAGAATAATTACAAGTATGAAGTTGAAGTTTTTCAATTAATACTGTGAGGTTGCTATGTGTTTCTTGCATATCTTCACAGTATGCTAATACAAGAGCAGAATTTATTCCAAATTAAGTTCCCCTATCATTCCCATGAACAAGTTACTTTTGCAAATACCCATGAACATTACTTTTGCAAATACCAACTTTTCCTGAAATTATTTTCTTTCTGTTTTATTTGTATATTTTTATTTAAAGAATTATTTGATGAATTTAATTCAAACTAATTTAAAAAAAAAAGCATAATATAAAACCTAAGATTTCAGTAGTTGCCAATTTCCAAACATTTTGCATTTTTTGCAGCTCCTACTGCAGTAGAAATTGCTTAAAGATTCTTTTTTTCCATTTCCATTTAACTGATGCTGAAAAAGGTTTTCCAGTTTTAAGCAGGTACAGATTTCTTTTACATGTAAGGCATAGTCCAGCTGGATACTTTATAACCTTAATACTATATTCATTATGGCAATGCTATACAATGAGCTTTTCCAAAATTTCTGTAACTTAATACACTTAGTACTTTTAGTAAATCAACAAGCACAGACCAAAAGTCTGTTCAACTTATGAGATCTAATTAAATTTAATTACTAATTGCAAACTTTGTTTAATTCTAATTAATCATCATTACCTTTAAATAACTATAAACAACTAATAAATGGTATGTAATGAAGTTAAGCTAATTTTATACCATATACTATACTCTTTTATATAAAAATACTAGTGTCAAAAAGACAAATGTGTCCAAAAAAGTGAAGCTAAACAAAAAGTGTTTATTAACAATAAAGAGGCTTATGATATTCAGGCATTTTGAAGACTAAAATCTGTATACAATAATCTTGTATACAAAGTCATATAATCACATGGTATCATATGGTTATAAAAAGATAAATGTGTTTAAAAAATAACTGTGAAATAAAGTCTGAGAACAAAAACACCTCAAAATTTGAGGCCACCTGCTCTGATTGAGAACATGTGCATTTGAAACATTTTTGTAATTTCATAAACCAAATTAAAATTCATTATGAAATTTCAAGTTTCTTAAAAAAATCTTATGTACTTTAGAAGTTATGATCATGTAAAATATAAACCCTTTTCATTTTTTTTTGGAAGGTGGAGGGGGAATATAAGGTTTTTTGGTCATAACTTTTGAATTGTAATGTATATTTTTTTAAAATTTGAATTCTTTGAATAAAATTTCATTTACTATAAGATTGTGCAAAAAAAATTTTCAAATTATTTTATTTGCCATATTTGGGGTCAGTACTTTGAAATAGTTGCATTTTTTATGTTCCTAGAATAATTTTTTTTTTTTTTTTTGGCAGAGCATGATTATTTGATATTAGTATTAGTATGTAAAAATTCAAGGTTTGCAGCATTTCAGGAAGTTTCTTCACTTGAACATGATAATTTCATAGTCTCGCCCCCTTTAAATCCCTTTTCCAAAAATGTGCCACCTGCAGGAATATAATTTTTACAGTTTTGTGTAACCTAAAGGTTTTTTTAAATAGAATCTATAAAAATATTTGGGGTGTTCCAAAATCAAACCTAAAAGGTAAATTTCTGACCTGTGTACCAGTTAATAACCTGCACTGAGAAATAAGTTAAAAACTGTACTAACTATTTCATGCTCTAAATATAAAATATTTAGTGAATATTTCCTGAAATTACCTTGTTTTATTTCAATATTTAAATGTGGTTCTAAACTTTCGAAAGTTTAGAACCATTTTTAAATATTGAAATAAAACAAGATAATTTCAGGAAATATTCCATTTAAGAATTTTATATAGGGTTTGGTAGAAATCACTCTTTGTGAATACCAAGCAAGTGTTTTACCACTATTATACTACCACATCTAAAGAGTAGCTTAACACCCTTGGTTATATGTTTTAAAATGTGTTAAGTTTTAAATGAAGCAATAAAAAATATAGAAAAATATATAAATAAATGTGTGTTTTTAATAAGATGTTAGAAATTCTTAAAAATTTTTATTATTTATAAAAGAATGTTAAAAAAAAAGCTTTTGAAAATTATTTTGAGGAGTAACTTAAGAACTTAAATTATCCTAAAAATTATTCTAAAATAAATAATGATTAATACTTAAAACATACTTTAATAAAAAAATATTCTATATTATGGTTGACATCATTTAAAATAAAGTAATAAAAGTTATTTTAAATAATTTTTATTACTTTATTTTAATTATGGTGTCAACCATAATATAGAATAATTTTTTATTAAAGTATTTTTTAAGTATTAATCATTATTAATTTTAAAAAGTTGTCTACAAAACACCTTAATTGACATTGGCTTTTTTTAAGGAGTTTGATGGAGAAGTGCAGAAATTAAAACTAGAAAAAGAAAAGCTATCTAAATCAATAAAATCTACAAAAACAAAACTTGAAAGGGCTTCGCAAATGGAAGAAGTATGTATGCTTCAAATTTTGGTTATAAATAATGATATTCACTTTTTTTTTTCTGTTTGCCTAAATTTTCTTATTTTAGGAATTGAAAAAACAGTTAAACATTATAGTTGGTGAACGGGATGAGTTATTAAAAAAACAACAAAAGCTTGTCCAAGTATGTCTTCTTGTTTCTTTTTAATTGAGAACCCTTGAAATGTTTGTAAAAATGTAAAAAATTTTTACTGCACTTATCTAAGTGCAGTAAAAAAAACATATGTATATATATATATATATATATATATATATATATATATATATATATATATATATATATATATATATATATATATATATATATATATATATATATATATATATATATATATATATGAAGTCACTAATTGAAATAATTGAAAGTGACAGAAATAAACTTGGCTTGATAATATTTTTTTTTTAGAATAATTAAAAAAAAAATTAGAACTTGAATTAGAACAATTTATTATACTTTTATTTCACACTTGCAATGAAATTTTAAAGAGATTTTTGCTTTCATTTTTTTTTTTTTTTTTTTTTTGCTTTTTGTGCATTTATTCAATACAAAAAAATTCAACTTCAACTTCTTAAATTATTTAATCTATTGGATCTTCCTCAATTATTTCTATTGGTGCTTCTTCAATTATTTCAATTAGTGCTTCTTAAATTATTTAATCTATTGGATCTTCCTCAATTATTTTTATTGGTGCTTCTTCAATTATTTCTATTGGTGCTTCTTCAATTATTTCTATTGGTGCTTCTTTAGTTATTTCTATTGGTGCTTCTTTAGTTATTTCTATTGGTGCTTCTTCAGTTATTTCTATTGGTGCTTCTTCAATTGTTTCTATTCGTGCTTCAATATATTTTAAAAAATAGAGTGTTAAAATATTATTCAAAATAAAAACAATCGCAAAATGGCGTATAAAACATTCATTTTTGTACATAATAAAACACCCCTATTTACAAAGATTTTTTGCAGTTATTATATAACAAACAAAACAGCAGACAAATCTGGGGTGGGGGCTTGTGGGTGATAATAGTTAAAGCCCTGTAACACTCCTTTGGTGTATATACTAAAGTCATTGACTGTTCCTCATTTAGTATGACATCATCAGTGACATTTTATGTGTATCTAACAATCATCCACCAGTATAGAACAACTAGTCTTTTCAAATGGCTACTACTAAAAAGAGTAGCAGTCAGTTGATAGGCAGGGCAACCGAACAATTATTAGTTGCAAGGTCTTTATAAAACCATTTTACAAATTCTACACAAATCTTTGTTATGATTATTTAAAAACAACCTTCAAATAGCATTATTTTGATTGTACAAGTGGAAATAATATTTAACTAAATGGAATAATAATAAGCCTACAGTATACAAAATACAAACACATCCACACTTTAATTGTATGTATATATAATATATTTACAAGTGTCTGTGTGCCAATATGTGTGTAAATATTTATGTGTGTATATATATATATATATATATATATATATATATATATATATATATATATATATATATATATATATATATATATATATATATATACACACACATATATGTATATATACATTTATGTCGATATATTAGTAATAATGTGTGTGTCTATATATATATACATATATATGTATATATATATATATATATATATATATATATATATATATATATATATATATATATATATATATATATATGTATATATATATATATATATATATATATATATATATATATATATATATATATAATTGATTAAATTTGTGTGTGTTATCATCAAATTTCAGAAGTTGAAAGCTAAAGTAAAGTCAACAACAGAAGATGAATTATACAAAGAACAACTTAAAGTAACTGTTTTATATATTCAGCATTATAATTTTAAATATAACAAAATGTATACATTAAGATAGAGAAAAAATTTATAGATAAAAAATGTTACTAATGAAATAGCACTGATGCTACTGAAGCTACTATGTTATACGCTATACTATATGTTAATGTCAAAGAGAAAACAACACTTAAAACTCAGTAAAACACTAATTAAAAATCAAAATAAAAAAACCCAGCAATACAACAATTCAAGTAAATTAAAAAAATGTAACTTCATAACTCAGATGTGATCAGTTATGATGTTATTCAAATATAACATAATTTTTCTGGTCATGTTATGATTAAACTGATTATACATAGGCCAGGCTCTCTATGACAGATCAGGCTCTTTTTATTTGGCAAATTACCTAAGAGATGAAAAAACTCTGATGTAAAACACCCAATTTAATTATGGGTATAGAGGGAGCTCATAATCTTTGGATGGTAATCCTTTTAGTAATGGTATTGCAATAAAAGTTTTTAGTCTTTAAATACATAGAAGAGGTTAGTGCCAGCTCTCAATTGTAAAAAAAATGCTTTAACTATTCCTTTATGTTATTTTTAAATCAAAAGTTCCCATAATAGAAACCTATTGACAACACACAAGTGCCACGCATTAAACTCTTATTTAAAATTTAAAAAACAAAAACATGGTATTTTTTTCTTAAATTTTATGTTCAAGCTTCCTGTCATACATAATGTCGTACATGGTATCATACAGTATATCAAAGTGTAACTGTATGGTGTCATACAGTGTAACCAGACTTGACATTATTATTTAGTTTGACTAGGCTTGATCTTATAGTATGATCTCAATAATTGAGTTAATGTGTGGAGCTTCGAATAAATAAAAAATAAAAATTCTTTGAAAAATTTATCTCAAAAAAAGATTAATACAAGTCTGGGGTTCCAGAATTTAATGGTTGTTTTCAGATTTTTCTTCCCTAACAATTGTTTTAGCATAATAACATTTAGGTAGATTGTTTATATGAAAATAAGTTGCCCCATGTTAGCAATTTAAAGAACTTTGTTTAAAAAATATAAATATAAATTTATATTTTTTAAACAAAGATTTCATTTTAAAAATTAATAGAGGTTTTTATTTACTTTCTTTAGGATTTCAGTAAACAAATTGAAGAACTGACAAAAGAAAATGTTGCTTTTAAGTTATCAAACAGTGATTTAATAAAAGTTAATGAAGACTTATCTGAAAAGTTAAAGGTATTTTTTTCCTATAATATTTTCTTTTGATAATTATGGCTATTTTTTTTTTTTTTTTTAAATTCACCTCCTCAAGGCCGAGAAGGCCACTACAGATGAGGAGGCTACTTATTTGTGGTTATAACCCTCTCTCAACTCTATAACTCCGAAACACGAACCTTGACGAATAAGGCCGCTGCGCGGAGAAACGAGTTGAGCGCGGTACTACCAGGGACGTGGTGGGGATCGAACTCAGAACCACTCGTTTATGAAGCGAGCGCTCTACCACTACACCACTACCGCATTTAAATTTTATTATTCAAGGGTGAAAGCTCCAGTTTTAAGGTTCCATCCTTGTTATTAAAGGGTGGAAGCTCCAGTTTTGAGGTTTCATCCCTGTTATTAAATATTTTTAATTTTTTTCAAATTTTAATTTTTAGTTTTGTTTTTTCTCTTTATTTATATTTTTAAATTTGAAAATTGTTAAATTATAACAAAAAGAAATTTTTTTTAGTCCCTTCAGTCAGATTGTATAAAAGTTAATACTGAACTTGAAAAACAATTAACATCAAAGAACAAGCAAGAGGAAGAAATGAAAACTTTAAAAAGCAAACAGGATGAAGAAATAAAAATATTAAAAAAGGAACAGAAGAATGGACTCATAAATTTCAATGTAATTTTCTTTAATTTTCGTTGTTTTTTTAAAGCTATTTATTAATTTTAAATTTTGATTTTTTTAAGTTAAATTTTTTAAATGAAGCAGAAATATAAGAATATGACATAAATTTCTGGCTCTAAAGTCAGCAATCTATGGCATGATTTTTGTTTCACTAACAAATATTAAACATTTATCGCTTCATATTTCTTTGAGAAATATATCTTTGATGAATTCTCCTCAAAGATATTTTTCCTCTCGTTGTATATGTTTCATGAAATTATTTTTCCTCTCATTGTATATGTTTCATGAAATTATTTTTCCTCTCATTGTATATGTTTCATGAAATTATTTTTCCTCTCGTTGTTTAGTTTCTATGCAATTATTTTTCTTGTCATCGTTTAGTTTTTATGCAGTTTTTTCTTGTTGTTGTTTAGTTTCTATGCAGTTATTTTTCCTATCAATAGGCATAGTGTTAAAGAATGTTCAATTTAATTCAATAAAACAATAAAACCAAATAAAATAATTTTTAAATAATTTCTGGTATAAAACAGCTGTTAATCTAGCTACATACAGCTTATTACCCTGTGTTTTTTATTTGTATTTACCTACAATCAACTACGAAGCTAGGTAAATACAATACTTATTATAATAAAACAATCAAACAGGTATCAAACATTTTTTTGTATAAGTTTTTAGTAACCTAGATTTCTTGTAATAATAATATGAATTTCTTTTAGACTGTTGAATGTTATCCTAAGACTTTTTTTACTCTTTTTGTTGCTGTTCTTTGTTGTAAAAGAATTTCAACAATAATAATAATTAAAAAAAATAAGAAAATGGTAACATCCCCTAAATATTTCATTAAAATGGTTTGTAAAAAATGTTACAAGACACTTTTTATAGAATTTGTTTTTTCTTACATGCATCCATATTTTTATATAATTCCAATAAAACAACTGCGATTTGACAACACAATGATTTGTTTTGTAGCAAGAAAAATTATTTTTCTTTTCAATTTTAAAAAACTACTTGGTTTCTTAATAGCTAAATGATTTGTTTTTGATTAAATAAAAAGCATTTTTAGAAGCAATTATAAACTTTTTTTGTGTACTTGATTTCATTCTTTTTGTGTACTTGATTTTTATTCTTTTTGTGTAGTTGATTATTATTTTTTTTGTGTACTTAATTTTTATTCATCAAGGCATATTTTACTTGATTTTTTTTTTTTTTTTTTTTTTTTTTTTTTTTATTGATATAATGTTAATAAAAAAACTATTTGATTTAAACTAAAATTTTATTTTCATTATTCATTAAAATAGTTTAATTGCCATACATTATATACTATATTAAGTTATATACTAAAGTTAATATATTTATATAATTAAATTATTTAAAATATATAACTTAATTATTATAATAAATATATAATAACTAAATTGAAATAATCACTGTCTTTAAAATAGTTACTTTTTGAAAAATTTCCAAAAATTTTTTGAATTAATTTTTTTTTTTCTTTTTGATTCCATGAAATATTTTAACTATTGTTAGATATTGATGAGTGATATTGAATCACAAGATTTTTAATTTCTAACAAATTCTTTACTTGGTTAACATTTTAGTATATTTGAGTGTGCAATTTGAGTGCGCAATAGGGTGTATTATGTACATGACAAATGATGCAAAAGTTATGTACATGACAAATGATGCAAACGTTATGTACATGACAAATGATGCAAACATTATGTACATGACAAATAATGCAAACATTATTTTTTTGAGTGTGAAAACAAAATTTATTTTTTGAATTCATATAAAATTAATATTTTTTTTCTCTGACATTAGGATAAAACATTTGTGATTGCTCAACTTTTTAAATAGTAAAATTCAGCAGAAGTATTCATAATAATAATTTTATTATTTAAAAAAACATTTTTTTAAATGTACAGAAACTGCAAGAAAAGTTTGACGATCTTTTGATTGAAAGAGAGAGTTTGCAAGCTCAAGTTTCACAGCTAAGCGATGACATAAAAAAACAAAAGGCTTCACTTCAGGTGTTTAACATTACTTAGTATAGTTTTACAAAGTTATTTACCATAAATAAATAGTATTAGATAAAATTATAAATTTTAATACTAATATATAAATATAAGTAGTGAACTGAAATTAAATTAAACTTGATATCATGATATATCAATTTTTTTTTCAAGTTTATTTTAGTAAGTTGATTCTAGTATGTTTTTGCTCAAAATTTCTTTCCTGGAAATTATTTATTCAAAATATGTCTCTAGATTGAAAACTATAGGCTTAACTATACTTATATATAGTTTTGATATATAACCTATAGTTTTTAAACTAAAAACGATAGGTTATTAAATTATATATAATTTTCAGGAGGGAGTAGAAAAACACAAAGCTTTTTTTAAAACTATTGAAATAAACAGTTAACAGAAATAGACAAAATATTATCAGGTGTTTTTTTTTTTGTGTGTTCATTTTATATAGAGTTGAAATTGCAATATTACTTTTGAAATTAGGTATCAAAATTATAAATTGTAACACATACTTTTTAATATTTTATAAAGTTCTTTTTAATTTCACAATCTTAATAACCATTTTTTTTATTTTAGTGAGTAAAACCTAAAATAACGATTTTAGTTTAGTGAGTAAAGCCTAAAAGTTCCCTCCCTTTCTCCCTTTTCTTAACAAAAAAATAAACAAGTTATATTTTCAATACTTTAATCAGTATTTTATTATATTACATGCACATCAGAGTTAAATGTGATTATGGGTGAGAAAGTTACATGTGTAATAGGTGTTTACAGGTGTGTTTATAGGTGATAGGGTTACATTCTCTAAGAACACATTACACAAACAACTAATTGTGATGTGTTTCGTTTTCAAATACTTTATAAGTATTGTTCAATACTAGGATATTACAGCAAGATTATTCAATACTAGAATATCTTAACAGATAAAGTTTGTTTTATTTTTTTGACAGACTAGAAAAAAAGAAAGAAAGCCGTCTGCTGCTTCCAAAGAAACTCAATATTTTATTGTTGATGAGGTAAACATAAGTACTTTATTTATTTGAATATTTATCCTAAAATTTGAAATTTATTTTTTGTAATAGATTTTATGTTGTTAAATATTAGTTTATTATTGTATATTATTTATTTATTATTGTTATCATTATTATTAGTAGTATTAGTATTTTATTATTATTATTATTGTTATTATTATTATTTTTATAAAAATTAAAAAAATTATCATCATTAATTTAAAGTATTTTATTTGTTGATGATAATTTATATGATATATGATACATATATGATATATATATATATATATATATATATATATGTATGTATATGATATGTATGTATATGATATATATGATATGATGTATATGATATATATATATATATATATATATATATATATATATATATATATATATATATATATATATATATATATATATATATATATATATATATATATATATATATATATATATATATTTGTTGATGATATAACAATGAAAAGTTAATTAAAAAAAAAAATAGAAGTTGATCAATATTACAGAGTATGAAACATTTCTAATTCAAAATTTTTTTTTTTTTTTTGCAATAAATGATCATTAGAAACAAAAGTTTTTCATAAACACTTTTAAAACACCTGTTTTACTGTAAGTAAATATTATTTGTTTCCATGTTGACATTTTTTACTTAAGTAAATCTATGTTTTTTTAACCAAATAAATTTTAACACATTGGTCTCTGATTATGATTTTTTTTTCATTGAAAAAAAAATTGTAATTTGATTTCTGTTAAAAGAAACAAGTTTCTTATAGTTTCTATTGACATCAAAGTATAATTGATGCAATCTTTTATGCTTCCTTTTAAAGTGACACATCACATTAAATAGAAAATTAGTATGTATTGTTTATAATCCATCAATACATATAGTTTAAATAAGATTAATTTTTAAATAGCCATGTAAAATGATAAGAAAGTCAAGAAATGGTTTTGATGTTTTGGTAAAATTCATTCATAAATTTTCCTGTTTTTTTTTTTTTTTTTTTGTTTTTTTTGTATTAAACAGTTTTATATTAAACAGATTTTTGATAAAATGTTTACACAATAAATTTTTATATTATATTCATTCTTATTTTTTAATAAATAATATATGTTTACAGTAATTTTTTATATTTTTAAGAAAATGTTTTTATGATTATTATAATTTTTATATGTTAATTTTAATATGCAGCAGTTTTAATGTATCTGAAATTTGTTATGCTTTTTGTAGTAATTTTTCTGCATTTACTGTTGTAATTTATGTATATTGCATTAATTTTTGGTGTAGTTTTTTTAATATGTTTTGTTTGTTGTAGTAATTTTATGTCTGTCACAATAAATTTTATGTATATTGAATTAGTTTTTTGCGTTGCTATGCTTTTAATGTGTTTATTGCAACATTTTTTGCCTTAGTTTGTTGCAATAGTTTATGTAAATTACTTTAGTTTATGTATCTTTGCTATAGTAATTTAGTTATATCTTTATTGTATCTTTGTTTGTTGTTATAGTAACTTATGCACATTTAATATAGTTGTTTATGCACTTTTATTATGATTGCTTATACATGTATATAAAATAAATTATGCATTTTTTTTATAAAGATTTTTGTGTTTCTTTTATTAATTTATGCATGTTTATTGTAGTAATTTTTTTTGTTAAAATTTTAGTATGAATTATTCTATTTTGTAAAAATAATTTTATTTGGTAACTGCAACTACTATATAATATTGTATGTTAAAATTATTTTTTTTATAATTTATATTATAATTTTCATTAAAATATTTTCATTAGAATAGAATGATTTAGTTCTGCAAATAAACATACTTTAATTACAGTATTATGTTTGCTACAGTAATTTGTATTTACTATAAGAAAAATAATTTTTTTTGTATACGTAAGTTTTGTATAAGTTTTTTTGTAAAATAAAAATGTAAACAAAAAGGAGAAAATGTACCATAAATATAAGCTAAAGCTACTAAACCTTGTATCAACTAAAATGTAATGAAATGTGTTATACCCATAATCTCCTTTATTATTTTAAACTGTGTTTATCAACTTTTGACTAAGTAATACTTTAAAAGCACTGTGAAAGTAAATTGGAAGCGGTGTAGTGGTTTGCTTTGTAAATGTGAGGTACCAAGTTGATTTTGAACCTTGCTTGTCAAGGCTTGTGTTTAAAAACAAAAATTAAATTAATAATATTAATTATGAATTTGTAAAAGTGAGTATTCTTTATGACTGTAGTTGTGTCTATGGTCTCAGTGAATTAAATGTCTTTAAAATAAAAAAAAGTCTGTCGTATTTTATAAAGTAATATAAATTTTATCAAAAAAGTGTAAATGGTAAAAATTATATAAATTTAAAAAGTTTAGGATCATAAAATATTAAAAGTATAATCATATTAAGAACAATATAATCATATTAAATCATAACATATTAGCGTAGTGGGGTATGAAATGCCTTAAAATTATTTTTGTTTGCTTTTCAAGTTTATGGCCATTAACTTTTAAACAAGCAAAATTTACTAGATTATTGCAACACTATTTTAATTGAAAAATTAATTCAAGTAAATTAATAAAAGAATAATTTAAATTTAAAAAATATTCAAGGAATCTTTTTGCTTCCAATTTTTTTAAATATAAAATTATTTTTTTTCTTGAAGCTTGATACAATACTTTTTTAACTACTAACTAATTAAATAAAAATATACAAACGTAATCACCTTAGTAACCACCTTTAACCAAATATAACTAACCCAATATACACTGTTATTCAAACAAATTTAACATTTTGTAAACACATTTTTTAAATAGTATTAGAACAGGTTTACAAGAAATTTCAAAAAGTTATAAAAAAAAATCTCTAAAAAAAATGTAGCTTATTGAACTGCATATAAATTTTATTACTAGGAATCAGCTTCAACAATTTTGAGATTGGAAACTCGTATTGAAGAACTTTTATATCAACTGCAGACACTTAATGAAGAGAAACTAGTAGGTATTCATAAAGTTTATAAGAGAATAATATAGTAGGTATTCATTAAGTTTATAAGAAAACAGTGGCAGTAAATTTATAAAATTGATTAACACATGATTGCATGCGGGACATGTACTAGTATGTTTTCTAACAAATAATACTTGAGTGCGGGACTTGTACATTTTCTGACGATTGATTCTTGAGTAGGGGACACATATTTCTGAAGGTTATTACTTGAGCGCTTTTCCTGTACAAGTTTGTGATTAGAAAATCATGTAGGAAGGCTTATGATTTTAACGTTTAGTTTTTTTTATATTTTTAGAATCAAGAAACCCAACTAGAAGAATTATTTAAATCTCATGATGACTTACAAAACAAGTACGACTTTGAATGCAAAGAGCGCGAGGTATTCAAAAGAAGATTGTATATAAAGTTGTTGTTTTTTTTAGAGAAAAAAGGAAAAGGATATTATGTTTTTTGTTTTTTTTAAGAAAAAGGATATTGTATGTTGTTTTTTTTTTTTAGAAAAAGGAAAAGAATATTGAATATTTTTTTTTTTTAGAAAAAGGATATTGTATATTGTTTTTTTTTAGAAAAAGGAAAAGGATATTGTATGTTTGGAGGAAAGGTTAGAGCAATACGAAAAAGAAATAAATAACTGTGATGCAGAGGTTTTTAATACTTTATAACTTAATGATTTTATTTAAATGCTGCAAAATGCTATACGCTAGGGAAACATAAAAAAATGGATTGATAATTTAGTAATAATCTCTGAAAATTTACTACTAAATTATCAATCTATTAGTTTAAAATTTTTTTTTTACTGAAATATATAAGATTTGAATGATATTTTGATTAATTTAGGAGAAGCCCCTCCTCTTTTTACTAACAATGGCCGTGTGTTCATTGATTTATTTCAATTCTTTCACTTTCTTTTCTTATGAATTGTAAAAAACAAACAAAAAAATTACTCTTTTTTAGCCCCAAAAAACTTAAAATGACCTTTTAGTCAAATTTAAAGTCAACAATCTGTTGGTTATTACTTTTTTTTTTTTTTAATTTATAATTTTTTGAAATCATAGAAGTTGAATTGAAAAATTAAATTCTACAATATAGGTTGTCTTGAATTATTGCTTAAATTAATTTAAAAAATGAATATATTGTTTAATTAAATTATTTTTTTTTTAAACCTATAAATAATTTTTGAAAAACTCTCGTACAAAATTTTTTATAAAAATGAATGAGTTTCATATTTTACTATATTTGTATATAAATTTGTAATTTTGTGGATAATATTTTGAATGTATTTCAATAAAGTTTAGAGTTAAAAGCATTAGTAAATTATTTGAGAAAATGCTGTGTGGTGTTTTTGTGGGTACATATTGTGGAAACTACTATAGTGCAGTGTTTTTGTGTGGAATCACTATGATATAATTTTTTTTCTAAGCTATAATATAATAAATTTTTCATTAAGTTTTAATATAATTTTATGCTCTACGATGTTTATTAATAGCTGTGTTTTTTTTTTAAGTCTAACTTCAAGCTTCATCAACAGATTGTCCAGCTCACTTCTGATGTGTCTAATCTTCAATCCGAGATCAAAAAATATCAACAAGAGGTTTTAGTAAAAGAGGAATATATTATACAAGTTCGAAATGAATACGAGGCAGTGTCTAAAAAGCAAGCTGAGATCCTTAACCAATCAGTCTCTCGTAAAGAGATGGATAGAGTTGTTGAAAATTTTCATCAACTTGATGTTGAGTTGATGACAGCTAAGTGTAATTTAGAAACTTCTCTGCAAGAAAATAATTCTTTATGTTTGCAACTTCAAGAATTAGACAAAGGTTTTTCTGCTATGAAAAAAGAGTATGAAATTAGTTCAAATGAAGTCCAAAGTTTAAAATTAAGACTTTCAGAATTAGTTGAAGAAAAATTAGTGTTAATAAAAAATTATGAACTTTTAAAAAAAAAAATTGAACATCACAGAGTACACAATAAAATATCTGATATTGAATCTTTTTCTCAAGAAAACACAGAGTTGTTAATAACAAAGAGTACTTTTGAAAACCATGCAATAGAAAGCACGCAAGAACATCTTATAGAAAGCACGCAAGAGCCTCTTCTAGAAAGCACGCAAGAGCCTCTTCTAGAAAGCACGCAAGTGCCTCTTATAGAAAGCACGCAAGAGCCTCTTATAGAAAGCACGCAAGAGCATCAAGTTTTTAATGATCAAACTGAATTAAAAGAGATTTCTGAGGAAGATTTACAAAAACAAACAAGTGTAATAAATACCCTTCAACATGAGATAGATTTAATTTCAGGAAAGTATGATCAGCTAAATAATGATTATATTCAATTGAAAAAAGAAAACAATGAACTCCAAACCAATTATACAGAAATACAAAATATGCACCAAGATATCCAACTTAAAAACCATGAGCTTCTAGATCCACTTTTGCAATTTCAAAGTCTGTGCGAAAAACTGTCTTGTCCTGGTATACTAGAATTAGAAGCATATGTTGATTCTCTAGAAGAGAAAATTCATCATATCCAATCATCAAACGAAGAATCAAACAAAGGTTTAATAAATGAGGTAGTTGATAATTTACGGACTCAATTAGAAAGACTCAATTGTAAAAATTTTGAACTTGAGGAAAATATTTCTGAAATAATATTAAAAATAAAGGAAAAGGACAATGTTATATTAGATTTGAATTTGTCTGTTAAATCTTTGGAGGCTGAAACCATGCGTTTAGTAGATGAAAATGAAAAATTAACAAATAATATTGAATGCTATAATGCTGAATTTAAAAAAGAAAAACAGGAAATTTTATTAGAGAAGCAAAAATTAAAAGAATTGTGTGATGAATTAAATTGTAGAATAAATGAAAACAGCATACATATTGAAACATTAGAACTTGAAGTCAACAAGTATCAAACCGATTTTTCCGCTTTGACAGAAAAATATAATCTAACAATAGAATCATTGAACAAAACATTAGAACAAAACGATTTTCTTTCTAAGCAGTGTGAGAATTTGACAATGAAGTTAAAAGAAGCTGAACAGTTAATTGATGAATTTAAAATTGAAGCGGGTTCAACTCAGTTAACAGATAAAAAATGTAAAAATCTAGAAGCTTCATTAAATCAAGTTGAAACAGAAATTTTAGAAAAAAATAACATTATAGAGGAACTAAAATCACAACTATGCATTATAAATAAAAAACTTGATGAGCAAACAGAGGTTCTTTCTGAAAAAGAAAGTTTGCTATTGAAAACTGATAACAAACTAAATTTTTTTGAGTCTATTAATGCAAAGTTAGAGTCTGAAAATCATGAGCTCAGCGAAAAACTTAAAAGTATTTACCATAAAAATGATAGTTTGTTAAATGATTTAAAGACACAACAGAACATTTCTGCAGAGCTAAAAGCAAGTTTAGATTTGTTAAAGGAAAATGAACTTAGTTCTGAAATCAAAGAGAAATTTGTTGAGGAAATCAAAAAACTTAAGGAGGAAAACAAACTTCTTGTCGAGGAAATCAAAAAACTTAAGGAGGAAAACAAACTTCTTTCATCAGAAGCTAGTAAACTTAACATCTCTTTTGTTTCCAGCGAAGAAGAATTGCAATCTGCATTAAACAGAATTGAAGAACTTGAAAACGGTGTCAAAGAAAAGCTAGAAAATAAAGGTTTTTTATTTTTTACATTCTTTTTACTTTGTAAAATGTTTTATTCTAAAGATTATTATTAATACTACTACTCTTTTTTAACTTTTTAAGTAAATAAAAAAATTCTATAAAGAAAAATATTTGTTTAAACACCCAGGGGCTATTCTATACCGTTTTGATAGCGTCAACCATATTTGGACATTGTCCAAATTAAAATTTGAGGACAAATTTTTTTTTTTTTGCGAAAAAAAAACGCTGATTTTCCGCGAAAGTTTGCCAAAACAAGGAAGTACCACTGCCCAAATTTTTTTTCTAGAATAGACCATGACACCATATATATTTTTTGTATACAATAAAAAACAGAATGAAAAATTTATAGCAATACAAAAAACAAAAATTTTATAGCGGAAATGTATTTCTGTATAAATCTAAAAAAAATTGTTATAATTATTATTACTCTTGACTATCATTCTTACTTGTTAATTTTTTTTTTTTTTAATATATTTTATTTATATAAAATAAATATCATGGTATTTTTCTTTTCTACTATGAATATTATAATGTTATGTATCATTAGCTCAGCTTGAAAATGTGATTCGTGAGACCAATGAAAAGTCAAACAAGTTTCGTAATGCTGCTATCAAAGCTAAGAAAGACCTTGAAGTCGCAAAAGTAGAGTTCGAGAAAGAAAAATTACGTTTAGAGGAGTTGATTAAAACCTTAAACAATGATTTGAGAGATATGAAAAATGAGCTTGTTACTCAGAAGACTGAATGCTCCAAACATGAGGAGGAATTCCAGGTCTCTTTTATATAAACTATTTTTCAACATTGTTCTAAATATGACATAAGTAAGATGAAAAAAGTATTTTTATAAAAAAATGATTTTTAAATTTTTCTATTAGTAACATAACCACTGCATCACATTTATAAAATAAAGCGAGAGAAAGTCTGATGAGACTTTGTGCAAATTATTAATAAGTCAACTTTTAAGTAGCAAATAACTAGAAAACTAAGAATAAAAAATTGTAGTCTTCAGAAATTCTTAAGTCTTTTGTAATTTAGTGTTTTACACAAATTCTTGCTCATTTTCGTTAGTTTTTTGTTTAAATATCAAATTTTTATTTTTTAAAACATTTTTTTTTCTTTTTACCTTATCTGGCAAAAGTATGCACATTTTAAAAAGTTTCATAAGTTAACTGATTTGCAAAATATATTTAGTTATTCAATAATGAAATTTATTAAATTGACTTACCAATTTTAAGTATAAAAATACAATAAAAGGTTTCATTACAAGTGAAAAATAATTTTAAAAAGCAATGAGCACCTTCATCATTGAGTCATTTTTTTGATCAAAAATCTTTTTTATCAAGTTACAGAAAACCTTTTCATCAAGTTACAGAAAAAGTCAATATAAAAAAACTCAATATAAAAAAACATAATTCATTTTAAAAAAATGAAAAAAAAAATCAATTAAAGGAAAAGTAGAAAAAAATTAAATAATTTAATGAAAGATAAAAAATCTGAAGATGGTTAACACAACCTTAAGGAATACAGGATTTGTAAAAAAATTCTAAAATTCTGTAGTTATTTTTAATATTATTTCAAAATATTCTATTTATTTTCAATAATATTTATTATTAACTCAAACTTTCAAATGTTTCATAAATGTTTTTAAAATTTTTCTTGATATATATAGCTTATGCAAGGCGAGATCAAACAATTGCAGGACAAACTTGAGAATGAAAAACAAGCAAGTGAAGATCACCAATCCGAGAGTAAAAAACTTATGCTATTATTAAATCAACTCACTCTAACATCCACTGCAAATGAAAAAGAAGTTGCTCGTCTTCAGAACTTGTTAGCAATGTCTGATAAAGCAAATTATGATCTCACTGTTGAAAATGAAAAAGCAAAAACTCAAACATTAGAATACGAGCAATTAATTTCTCTAAAACAAAAGATTGTAGATGAAAGAGACGAGGAAGTTAATTATTTAAAAAAAACTGTTGAAAATCTTAAAAAGGTAATCTTTTATTTAACTTTTTTATTTTCAGTTTATTTTCTTTATTTCATAAAGTTGAGTTTAATTAACTTAAGGTGATATTAAGATTAATAAATAAGAAATTTTTAAGTTTTAAAACTAAATGTATTAATAAAAACTAAATATATTAAAATTTTTAACAAAAAAATATATTAATACAAGGTTTAGAATATATAAATAAGGTTTAAAAACTAAATTTTTCCAAAATATAATATTTTTGAAATTTTATTTGAAATTCTAAATTTATTTATTTCCAACTACTTAAAATATTGAAAGAGAAAGTTGTGAAAGTGATAAATTAAAATGGAAGCTTCCATACTAAGAAAACCTTTGTTTAATCACATATGAGTGATTTATTTCATCAGTTAAGTTTACTTGTTAAAACATTGTGCAATGATTCATGGTAAGTCAACCAGCTTATACCACAATTGGTCAGCATTTAATTAACTTTTTGTTTTTTATGTTGGGATAAAATTTGTAATTGATTTTAGAAATTGATCTATACTTGGTTCTAAAAAGATTCGATCACGACATTTTAAAATAGTGCTTAGTCCTAATTTTTTAAATCTTTTTTTTCTTCATCTATTTTATTTGTCTTTATTTAAAAGGAATCCGATCAAATTAATGTGATGAGCCTTGAGATGAATGATTACTTAAAAACAATAGAGAGTTTAGAAGCAAAGTTAAAAGTTAAACAAGAAGAACTACTTGAACTTCAAATTACTTATCAAGCATTACAAGGAGTAAAAGAAAATCTTGCATCTGATTTAGGTATGTTTCTTGCTTACAGCAGTTTCTAATTACGATGAATTAACTTCCATTATTGCATCTAATGACTTTTCTTATTATTTTATAGTTTTTTTTAATTCTTTTTGTTATATTCCTTTTGCGTTAATTTTAACTAAGTCAGAATATTTATATGGTAATCAGAATATTTAAAAAGGTTTTAAAAATTGTAAAACAATAAATAAAAATTAAAAAAAAAACTTTTAATTTAAATTAAACTTCATGTTTTTTATTTTAGACACAATGAAAAGTGAAAAAAAAAAAAGTGACGATCAATGTAAAAAACTTAAAAACTTAGTAATGAAACTAAAAACTGAGTTGAGCGATGAACGTAAAAAGTTAGTTGAACATGAAACTTTACATACACAACAGAATTTAAAAATAGAAGAACTTATGCAGAATTTGGATGAACTTAAGCTGTTGAGTGCCAAGTTTAGTGCAGATAAAAACATGTTGCAAGTTGAGGTGGGTTTTCAGGGTTTGTTTTGTTGTCATTAATTTATTTTGTTATCACTATTTTATTTTGCTGTCACTGTTTGTATATATATATATATATATATATATATATATATATATATATATATATATATATATATATATATATATATATATATATATATATATATATATATACACACAAACAGTGACAACAAAATAAAATAGTGTCTTTGCAAGTTTATTCCACACTGAACTTTTAAATACTTTTTCTTCATATATATATATCCTATTATTCTGGACCCATAAATTATATGCGTCTTTACCAAAATCTTCCATTTCTATACTTATCTATTCCACAACGATCATGCCTATACCTATTATTTGCTTACTTCAATATTTTTATGTAAAATAATTCATTTAAAAAAATTTCATTCTTGTTGCATTTATAACAATATTTATAGCAAAAATTTTATAACAGTATCACAGTTTATTATTATTTTAAAATAATATAACAATATTATTTTATAATAGAATAACAATATTATTTTATAATAGAATAACAGAACTAAGAAGATCTTAGAACATTATAAACTATAGACTATAAAATGCTAAGGAATTGCCCAATACGCAACGCTAAATTTATTTTTAAAAAAGTAGAAGAGATCTTCAGTTCTTTAGGATGGCGATTTTCCTTAAACTTAATGAGCTATATAGATTTTTATTTATACGACTATGCGAGGAAAAATTTTGATCATTTTTATTTTCTTCAATTGTGAAATTTAGCGTTGCGTAATTTATGGACGATCCCATAAATTACGCAAATACGAAAAATCCATAATTACGATGAATTATGGATTTTAAAGTTTAGATAAAGAATTAGTCAAAAAGTATATAAAGCCAAAAAATAATGGAATATAATATTATTTCTGATATTTATATAATATAGAGAAAATAATATGAAAATATAATATAGAATAAAAAATGTGTACAAATAATTTAGAGAAAAAAATGTATAAATATAATATGTTTATACTTAAACACAACTATTTATATCGATGGATAATGGTTTTTAACATACAGTATATTATTCTATCAATTCACAAATACATTTATTTAATAGTATTATAACATGGCTGTTCACACTTACATTTTATATTTATGATTAAATCTTAATACAAAAAAACAAACTTTTTGTATCATGGGCACTGGCAGGGGGTTGCAAGTAGGTGCACATGCACCCCCCTAGCTTTTGAAAAAAAAAAGAAATGGAGAAAGAAAAAAAAAATCTTTTAATAATAAGAAAAAGCGCGAAAAAATAGTTTTTATTTTAAATTTTTAAATTACAATTAGACATTTACATTTTACAACTTACAATTATACATAAACAGTCATTCACTTTGTTTCTAAATGAGCAACTCAAGCCTACTATTTTGTTGTCCAAACTTGTCTAAAACTTTGTCGATAAAATAGTATTTAATAGGTGGGGGGGGGGGGCTTAGAAAGAAAAAAATCATGCCCCCTCTCCCTGAATTAAATCCTGGTGGCGGTACTGTTTTGTATTAAGTTCCTGGTAAATACAACCAATACAAGTGAAAAAGTGAAACCTTTGTACACTTTGTACACTACACTAGTCAGATGCAATGAATAAAAAGAGATTTTATTCATTCTATGGTATGAAGTTTGTAAACACTTTACTAAACATTACAATCTCTGTAATGGAGATAGGTGCAATATCTGCTATCTGATTGGATTAATTATAAATCTAGCTATCTCATTTCAATTCATTTTCTCAGTAATTAATGTATATAATTCTTTTAAATATAGTTTATGACTGCTATTGAAAACCATGAAAAATCTTACAAACTGCTTGAAGTAAAGCACTCTCGATTAAACAATGACATTATTTCGTTGCAACACAAATATGATGAATTACAACAAGAATATGAGAGCTACAAAGTTCGAGCACATAATGTTCTTAAACAGCAAAAGAATAAACAAAATGATATTGAAAAAGAGAAGCAAATGAATGAGAGGTTAGTAAAAAAGTTTTGATTTTAAAATATTATTTGAGTATAAGGTATTTATTATCTTTTAATTAATGTTTTTTTTAAATGCTAACTTATAGTATATGTTCATATTGTATACCATCTTAATCACAGTTTCTTAGTTATCCAAGGGTTGAATAAAAGGATCCAAAATTGCAATATCTGAAAATATTTTTGGTCAAAGATTTTGAAAAATATGGGCAATGCCATGAACCTATTGTTGATTCAGATTTTTTGCCATTCTACATCAAAAGTAAAGTTCAAAAGAGTTTAAATCTTAAAATTATAATACAAAATCTGTTGATTTAAACTTCAAAAGTTTTAATAAACAGATAATAAGTTTTATATAAAACTAGAAAGTATAATATAATATTAAAAAAAGTAAACATGTTTTTAAAAAATATATATTATATACATATATATATTGTAAATCGGAGTCTAAAAGAATTTAGCAATCATGGGACATTTAAATAATTGTATTAATATAAAAAGAAATTTCTAACACTTTTTAACTTTATTTTTATAATTTATTTAATTGATATGTTAAAAACATTTAAATCTTTAAATTTATAGTTTAAGAAATGTTTTTAAAAGTACATCTTCGTAAAGGTTCCTAAATTTTTCAGTATTATTTATACATTTATTGTAATTTTCCTAGATGCATTTCTATTTCAATTAAAACTAGGGATATAATATTTATTTAAACTTTTTTTTTTTTATAATACTATTGTTTAAACAAACAATAAGTTATAAATGTAAGTTATGAGTAAGCTTGTGTTATTTATAACCATTGTAGTTGTAAATTTATTATTTTGTTGTGTTTTTTTCATAATATTTTTGATAACAAATTAAAGTTAATTAACCCCTTCCATAAAAACAGAGTTAACAGTTTTCCCTAAACTGAAACTCTGAGGACCAGAAATGTTTCCATATATTGTAGTATATAATGCAAATGCGGTAGTGGTGTAGTGGTAGAGCGCTCGCTTCATAAACGAGTGGTTCCGAGTTCGATCCCCACCACGTCCCTGGTAGTACCGGCCTTGTTCGTCAAGGTTCGTGTTTCGGAGTTATAGAGTTGAGAGAGGGTTATAGCCACAAAATAAGTAGCCTCCTCGTTTGTAGTGGCCTTCTCGGCCTTGAGGAGGTGAAGTAAAATAAAAAAAATAAAATAAAATAAAAATATTGTAATTAATGATCACTTTATTCAACCCTTTTTGTTATTTCATCAAATGATCAAATAACAACTAAGAAACAAAAACTTTTTTCTTCAAAAATACTGTGGAGATAAATTGATTTTAAAAAAGGTTATTTTTTATAATAATCATTAATATTTTTTTTTTTTTTTGAAACACAGAGCTGATATTGAACAAAAGATAAGTGTCTTAGAGGAAAAGTTGTTAGAAAAAGAAAATTTATTAAATCGTATTCAAATGGATTGTGAAAGATTGTATGTTGAGAAAGATTCATTACAAACACAGCATCAACAAGCAGTACAGGAAAATAGCAAAATTGAATCAGTTTGGAGGAAAAGGTTTTTTCTACATTTTGTTATTTTAATAAGTTTAGTGCCTATAATTCCAATTTTTGGTGGTTAGGATAGGTTTCCAAGGTCACTTTCTTATTTAAATATAAAATTATGTAAGAGTTGCAGCCATTTTGTACAACCAGATTACAAAATGATTGTTTCTAAAATAATAAACAACTTGAACTACCTTCTCCTGGATGTTTAGAATTACCAAATCTTGATAGATTGTGCATATGAGTGAACATCTTGATAGATTGAGCATATGAGTGGAACATCTATTTGTTATAACCTTTAGTTTTCTTATAGGTTATAACAAATGTTTATAACTTATCTCAAAGGTTATAACTATTTGTTATAAGCTTTAGTTTTCTTCGAATGGTTGTTTAATCTGTTTAATCTTTACCTCAGTATTTGAGATTAACAATATTAAACAAGAAAATACTTTATCAAAATGAATCATTTTGATAAAGTATGAATGGTCAACCATTCTGAAAGGTGAGTTGTTAGCATAAATTTCTTGCTATGTGCTCATCAATTGCTTATTTTTCAGCTTTTGATGGTTTTAATAAAGTAGGATATTAATTTAGTTGAAATTATCCTGCCACTGCTTACTATTGGCATATAGTTTATAAATCCAAAAAATTTGCTTTCTCTACAGTAGATTGAATAGATTCAGTTTTATCAAGAAAAGATTTTACTAGTTCATGCTTTGTTGATATGTTCAACAAATTGTTGATACTTCAATATCTTTGTTGATATGTTCAACAAATTGTTGATAATTTGATATCTTTGTTGATATGTTCAACAAATTGTTGATACTTTGATATTTTTGTTGATATGTTTAATAAATTGTTGATACTTTGTTATCTTTGTTGATATGTTCAACAAATTGTTGATACTTTGCTGGTATTTCTTCAAACCATGTCCAAGCATGGTTTGAAGAAATACCAGCAAATATTAAAAATTTAAAGAGATTTTTTCCTATCCCTCCAGGCTGAAACCAATTCACTTTTTTTGTTCAGTCGGTTTACTATTAAAACTCATAATAAAATACTTTTCATAAATACAAAGGTTACACTTTTTTGTGGATGGGTTGTAAGATTAATTGTTTCACTTTATCATTGGTTATTTATCATTGGTTATTTATCATTGGTTATTTATCATTGGTTATTTATCATTGGTTATTTATCATTGGTTATTTATCATTGGTTATTTATCATTGGTTATTTATCATTGGTTATTTATCATTGGTTATTTATCATTGGTTATTTATCATTGGTTTTTTATCATTACATTGAGCATTGGTTATTTATCATTGGTTATTTATCATTGGTTATTTATCATTGGTTTTTTATCATTACATTTAGCATTGGTTATTTATCATTGGTGCAAATAAACATTGGAACATTCTGTATCATATTTGTTCTGGTTGCATTTATTAAAAGGATTTAAGGTGGTTTGCAAATCTATGCTTGAATGCATTTTCACTAATACCACTGTAAGATCCTGTACATAAAGCCACTGTAAGTGGCTTTATGTACAATATTTTTTTATAGACATTAATTATTTAACGGGCATGTTGTTTACTTGATGCAGTTGCAGTTTGTTTCATTACCGTGAGTTTGTTGCACAAAATTTGTTGGTTGTGTGAATTAATAATTGATAGATTATTTGGCATGTAGCTGTAACTAACTTTTATTGTATTTTTGTTGAAAATTTTGTGTAGCTTATGTGTAATGGAAAATGTAGGTAAATTAAGTTTAATAAAAGGTGTCTAATTTTGATTACATAACTTTTGCTAAAAGGAGAATAAAACCATATAACATTTCTTTATCGTTTATTTGTATTAGGTGGGTTTAGATTTAGATGATATCAGAGATTAGTATCTAGACTTTTTTAATGCTACTTTATAAATAGGAGCAGTGTTTTGAAAAAAATTTTCGCTTAAAGAATTGGAAGATAATATATGTTCAATTGAGTTTGGTAATTGTTTTAAGATAATAGATTATTAACAAAACAGAAAATCAAAAATAAAAAAGGGTATATATCATTTACCTGGTTAAAAAACCACAATTACTGATTTTATAACAACTTTGATATAACTATATACCAATTATAATAATAACTAATAATAATTTATAAAGGAGTTATTTTTAGCATTTGAATCTAAGGAGATTAAATCAATAAATATACATTTAAATTAAAACCAATTAATTTAAATCAAAAAATTTCAGTTTAAATCATGACTTAAATCAATTTGAATCAAAACAACCTTGTGATAATGTATAGTGCTTGCTTCACAAGTGAGAAGTTTTGAATTTGGTCCCCACCACATTTCTAGTAGTATCGCACTCAACTTGTTTCTTCGTGCAGCTGCCTTGTTCATCAAGGTTTATGTTTCGGAGTTAAAACGTTAAGAGAGGGTTGTAACCACAATAAAGTAGTCTCCTCGATTTTAGTGGCCTTCTTGGCCTTGGGTAGGTGAATAACATAAAAAATAATACTTTATACATTTGTTCAACTTTATACACATGTATTTTTATCATCATAATTGTGTATTTATTTTATTATTTATTTAATGTTATAGCTTTTGTTTTCAGTTAGTCAATCAATCAAAAATCAATTTTTAGTTTCATCATTTTTGCAGGAATGCCCAATTAAGCGATGAGTTGAATGCAAAGATCTTGAATCATGAAAAAGAAATTTTATTTTTAAAAGAAGCAAATGAATCTGTGTTGAATTCACTGAAAGTAAATTTTCAATTTATGATTTATCTGATATGATGTAGTAATCAACTTTGGAAGTTAAAATTGTATATATTTGTTTGATAATAAGTTTTATACTGCTTTTGAATCAGATTTTTGTTATTAAGGGTCGTTTTAGTATCTCAATATTTTCTCTAAAATTTATGGGTTTTTAATTGATACAAATTTATATTATTTGAATGTCTGATTTTATATCTGTTATATATTTGAAATCTGATTTTATATCTGTTTTTATTTATATTTGTTTTTCTTCACCATGTTCTGTATACTAAATGTTTTTTAGGAGGAAATCTTCTTCAAATCAAATGAATTAGAGAAATACATGAAAGAAATTGATTCTTTGAAAGAACAAATAAAACAGTCTCAAGTTTTAAAACTTGACCAGGCCCCACCATTGAAAAGAAAAGAATCTGATACCAAAAGTGAATTAGTTTCTTTAGACTTTCCTAAATCTGTTCTTGAGAGACAAGAAGGCGAGGTGAGTTTTTGATTTCAAAAGTTCATTTGATATAAAGATTATGTAAAGATGTATTACTTGTTATTTTTTTATATTCTATAGGGAATGGATTCACAAGAGCTTGAAATGATAACTCTAAAGGTATATATATATATATATATATATATATATATATATATATATATATATATATATATATATATATATATATATATATATATATATATACATATATATATATATATATATATATATATATATATATATATATATATATATATATATATATATATATATATATGTATATATATATATATATATATATATATATATGTATATATATATATATATGTATATATATAAATATATATTTTTTATTATTATTATATTGTTGTTATATTATTGATATTATTATTGTTGTTTGTATTATTATTAATATTCTATAATATTGTCATGAATATTATTATTAAAATATTACCCTTATTATTTCTACAATTTATTTATGTTTTCTTTTCATATTTGATTATTTTACTTTTTTATTCTACTTTTTTTTCTTTATCCATTAAATTTTTTTTCCTTTGAATAGACTTCCTCTTAAATTTTTTTTATTAGTTGTTTGTTTGTTTGCGCTTTTTATGTTTATAGGTGTCCATTGACTAGTTTGTAACTCTATGAGTGATACCTAACCAATTTTTAAAAATTTATGATGAATTGTTGTAAATTTATAATTATATAGTTGAATTATATATATATATATATATATATATATATATATATATATATATATATATATATATATATATATATATATATATATATATATATATATATATTTATTAGATATGTTTTAAGTAAGTTAACTTTATGTACCAAACTTTTAGATTTTTGTTGTAATAATTTTCATTATAAAAAATACAATTGTGCATAAATTAAAATAAAATTGTGCATAAATTAAAATACTTTCATAGAAAAACCAAAGTAATCTACATTCTCAAAAAACAATAAATTCAAATTTGCGTACAAGAACCCATAAAAATGGGCTTGGGGCTTGGGGCTTAGGTAGGTCTCCCTTTCAATCATTAAAAGTAATTTAAAGAGAAAAAAAAAAAAGACAACATAAAATTGTATGAATTATAGCAGCTAAAAATTATCAAAAGTATAAATTATAATAATTATAATAATTTAACTTATAACATTGTAACAACGTTTATATAGCTTTTAGTAAATGATTATTAAATGGTATGAAGTTTAACAATATTTTGTCATTGCTTTTAGAAAATTGTTAATATTAAAGACACCTTAACTTTTGTTAAAAAAAATACCTTCTAAAACCATTTATAACACCAGGAACTCTATCTAAAAATAAAATAAAAATGCTACTAAAAATGCTAACAATACATAACACATTTATGTGTAATTAAATAAATTACAATCTTCCATTGTACTTAAATTTAGTATTTAAATAGCAAATTATTAAAATTAAAAATATTATATATAATAATATTATATTAAATTTAATAAAATATTCAAGTTGCAAATTCTATAGCAAAATTAACTGAAATCCAACTTAATTTAGCTCCTAAAAAAACATATTGCAAAATATAAAGATAGAGGTAAGATAATGTAGAGCAATTGATACAAACCTTGGTCATTATTCAAATTTCCTTCATCTTTTTTCATTCTTTCAAATTGATAATACAAAAATTTATTAACTATTGGTTGTATTAATTAACTAATGGTTAATTATAATAGACAAAAAATAATATAACCAAAAAGTTATATAACCAAAAAATAATATAACCAAAAAGTTATATAACCAAAAAATAATATAACTAAATATATATAAATTTATAAATAATATAAATTTCTAATAAGAAAATTTTTTTGTATTTTAAATTACATTGTTGAAAGTTTATATCTATTTTTATTTTTATAAAAACTTTCTTTTGACTATAACAAATTTCTTTTGGCTCAGAGATCTTTAATGCGCAAATTTTTAGGGTTCGTTTCCACAAAGTCCGATCTCACCCCTAAGCAGTCATTTGTTGGAAAATATTTTATCTTCTGAAGTCACAGTCACTCCACCTACCAGTATGTCTTATGCAGTTTTCTTGATAATTTGTTGCCATTTACTTAAAGTATCAACATAATTGTAATAATTTTTTGCTTTTGCATAAATAATCAATTTAATTTGTTTAGGTCCAGGTGGACTAAGAGAAGAAATTTTATCTCTAAGAACATTAATGAATAGTCAAATAAAAAAAAATGAACATGTTACCGTGGTGAGATGTCTGTTTGATAATGATTTGATTTTAATATTGCTGTAAAAGTTTGTAAGTTTTATAAATAGTTTTTTTTTCTTTGTTAGCTATTAAGAGAGAGTGAGGCTAATTCCTCAAGATTGGATGATCAAGTTAAGCTTCTGAAAGATGAAATACGAAGGTATATAAAAAAAACTCATGTCAAAGCGTAAAACTTTGACACAAAACTTTTAAACCTTTCATTATTAATACTTTATTTATTATTACTTTCATTATTATTATTTCATTATTATTTCTTTATTTTTAATACATAGCTTTATTATATATATATATATATATATATATATATATATATATATATATATATATATATATATATATATATATATATATATATATATATATATATATTTATATATTTATATTTATATATTTATATTTATATATATATATATATATAATTATTTTATATGTAGTGGTAAGACGTATGGCATTATTTTGTTTTTATTACTTTATTATTTGACTACAATGTGGTTTCTTATGGTATATGTTATATTTTATTGTACTTTGTTTTGTTGCTTTATGATTTGTTTTAATGAATTTTTTGTTTTTAACATCCATTTTTTAAACATATTTTATACATAAAATATGCAAAAAAAAAAATATATATATATGTTTTATGAATTGTTTTATCTCTTTTTTTTAATCTTTTTTATTGTTTGTATTTTATAATACTTATAATGCTACTCTTTACATTTACTACTTATGACGCTTCTCTTTACATTTACTACTTATGATGCTATTCTTTACATTTACTACTTATGACGCTTCTCTTTACATTTAGGTTAGAAAGAAATGTTGAAAGAGAGCAAGCATTGTCTAACTTGGAGTACTTAAAAAACGTCATCATAAAAGTAAAATTGTTAATTTCTGTTTTATTTTCAAAATAATTTTGTATGTTTCAAACTTTGAAAATTAAAATTAATTTTTAATTATTAAATTTTTTGATTTATTAAAAAATAATTATAATTAGGAAATTATTTTTGTGTTTAATGTTTTTTTATGTTTTTACACTGATGTTTAAATTCTATTTTAAATATAGCATTTTAAAACAAAAGAATCTACAAAAATAACATACAAATCAAAATTTTTTAATAATTTAAGTTTTATAAAAATGCAAATAGTAAAGATTAACAGAGACAGAAAAGTCATTATAAAAAATTATATAAAACTGTCATGTTGTATCTGAGAATAAGAAAGTCTTTTAATTTAAGTTTTTATATTGAGATTTTAAGTAGGACTGATAGAATATAGATAGATTAGACTGATAGACTGAATATAGATAGATTAGACTGATAGATTAGATAGGAATTAAAAGCTGTTTTCTTGAAATTAATGAAACAAGATTTTTTTACTATACCCTCCCCCCTTTTTCTTATTGTGTGACATAATTTGTTGACAACATTATTCAATTACCAATTCAGTTGTTAAATCTTGTATGAGATATAGGTAGATTTTTTATGAACTAGGTGTTTTTTTCTAGAACTGGCTAGAAAGTTTTTCGAAATAGTTTTCTTGAAATTCCAGATTTTTTATTCACCTATTTTACTGCAAGATATCTAGAATTTACCCGGAAAAAAAATGTGCAATATGTTTGATTTTTAAAAACTTCTCAACTAGGCATCAAGGTCTTGTAAAACTTGTCTAAAATAAAAGAGTCTTTTTAGAGCTCTAAAATTTTATATTGCAATGCAGCATTTAATCATTTGTAATATTTAGCTATTAAATTACATTATTTAATTTATGTATTATTTAATGTTCAATTTTTACAATACTTAAAAATATTAACTGTAGAAATTTTTTGTTCTACTTCTAAATTTTCACTGACTATATAAAAAAATACAAGTTTGTAAAATCTATTTCTTAACTATTTGGTACCAGAATCTTTAGGTAACAGACTCTTTAGGTACCGTGTTCAGAAAAAATCCTTTAAACAATCATTTTTAACATTTTATTTTTAATGAATTTTGTATCATTAAATCAAATAAATTGTTGTTTTTTTTCTATTACCAATATGATTGTTTGTTTGTTGTTTAGTTTTTAAAGGTTGGCTCAATGGAGCGAGAACAGTTAATACCAGTGTTATGTACAATGCTTAAATTAAGTAACGAAGAAAAGCAGTTTTTGTTAGAATATGCAAAAGGTATCTAATAATTAATTGCTAATTTATTGGAATAATAAATTTTGTTTCAAATAAATTATCTAACTAAAATAAATTATAATATAAATTTAGAAATTTAGTTTATTCATTATTTATCTGGTAATGTTGTTTTTATATGTTTTTTATTAAAACAATCAGTCAATGTTCTATTGTTTGTTTTTTAATAAAGTGAAGTATGAGGGCAATAGTTAAGGTGTGCCTATGAAAGAATTAATGAAGTGTAAAAGTTATATTTAAAATAGAAATAACATTTCTAAAAAATTATGAAATTTATTGAAAAAAAAAATTATAAAAGTGAAAAAACAAAAACCTCGAAACGTATTTTCTTTAAAGTGACAATTGAAAAAGACTACAAAATTGGTATGGTATTTCTATAATAAGTACACAATTCATTTGTCATAGTATTTTACAATTTATCTCACTAGTTCAGATTATATTGACTTTGGATAGATATCCATTTTTTCAAATTATATCACTCTATAAAAAAAAAAAAAAACTTTTATCAAAAACATAACCTGAAAAATGAATTGATCATTTTTAACTGGAGATATAATATCTTCAGTTTTAAATTTAAAAAAACAACCTAAAAATCTCAAAACAAAATCAAGTCAAAAATTTTAAATTTCTATCAGTATAGACTCCTATATCTATATAGGTATATAGAATCTGCCAGAACTCTCAAAATACTTAGTAACTGAAAAACAGGAATCTGTTTTTCAGTTACTAAGTATTTTGTATAAAGTACATATCAAAGATGATTTGCAACTCTTATTAACAATTCGCTTTTGAATTTTGGTTTGGTTTTAGTTTTGTAACCAGTTTTGGAATAGTCACTGATTTTAATAATCAAAATTTAAAACTGATTTTAAATTATCTCCACCATTGTTGTAACGAACTACTATTATTTTTTTACTAATTTTGAACTATATTTTTTACTAATTTTGAATTACTATTTAATAAATGTTCTTCTGTTTACAAATATATTTCTATAACAGCATGTCCATAAAATAGAATAAAATTCTCCTTATGAATTTTAATTTTATTTAAATTTTTCTTATGAATTCTTTAACCTCTTTAAAAGATCAAGTATGATAATCCCTTTGGCTGATGATCTTTTATTTTTTTTTTCCATATTGAACATTTATTACGCTTAAAAAAAGCTTTTGTATCTATAATTTTGTTAATAGCAACAGCGGTTATAACACCGTTTAGTGATATAAAACCTTGTGTTTGCCAAGTGATATGAAATCTTTTGTTTGCCAAGAGCCATCAATTGTTACTCTTTTTATTTTTGTTGGACTATTCAAAGTTTTGTATTGAGCTTATCAGCTGCTTTTTTCTTGCTATAAATTTCATAGTTATTAACGTTAAGGTGTTTTTGATAAAGAAAACATGTTCACGGATTGAGAGAAATTTTGCATTGCAGAAAAACCACAACCAATTTTGCAAAAACCAATATTTTTTTTTTTAATGCATTCTTTTGATGTTTTTTTGATGTATTTTTTTGATTTACAACAATCACATGACTCACATAGGAGTTTCAAATTATGGCCTAATTCCATTTTCTTCATTTCGTTATCATTGACAGTTATTATTTTTCCTACATGCAGGGCATATCAACAAAAGTGAAAATGTATTCTTAAGTATAGAGATATTGTTTAATACTAAAGAATCTTTTTGTATACATTTTGCTGTTATTATTAAGATTAGTTCAATCAGCTTTTTTTTAAATTTGATCAAAATCATTATTTTTTCATAGGGATACAATTTAAAACAATCTGAACAGAGTTATTTTAGTTGGTTTTTTATTTAATATACCTATCAACCATTGTTTTATTTAAACAGCTTTTTGAATTTAATTTTAACTAATTTAAAGTTTGATGGAAATAATTTTTTAATGTTAGTATGAAACGGTTTATATCTAGTATTATTTACTACACTTTAAATTACTTATAAAATTTCCAATAATTTTTTTTTTGCAGGTGCTGAAAGTGATTCTGGTGGTCAGGGAAACACTTGGACAAATTATATGTATCGATGGGCAGGAGTTTCGTAATTTAGACAAAATCTTTAAACGCACGAGTGCTCTCTCTTACAACAATACTTTTTCGTATTTCATTTTCCGTTCAACTTTCTATATATTACATTTTAAAAATACATCACCAGAATTTTTTTAAAAACCAAAAATGATATATTGTGATTTTTTTCATAGAGTGTATTTAATGTTTTTAATCGTTCACCTTGAATCTCATTCATTATTCGTCAATTTTTTAATTTATTTATTCTTATTAAAATCATTTTGAAGAATATATTCATTCTATATACTTGCTGAGTTTTGCCGTTTTAACGTGATAGATTTACAGTTATAAAATAGTGATACAAACGCGTTTAAAAAATGAGATTAAACTTATTTATAAATTAGGAAACGGGTTAACCCCAAAACCCTTCAAAAACACTTACAAAAATTCTATTGCTTCTATTATAGTAAAGATAAAAAAAAATTATGAAAAAAGTCAGAGGTATTGAAATAAAGCTTTATTATAGATGAGTTTTTAGCGGGAATTCCGGAAATTCTTTCAAAACTTTAATTTTCCAGAAATTTCCGTGACAACGTTTGTATTTTGACAAATATGTTTTTTATAATTGAAATTTTCACGATATCAATTTCTATAACAATTTTTTTTCATTTTTAATTCATTCAAATTTAATAATAATCATTGTTAACGATAGACACGGCAAGGATGTAAGCCATAGCCGTCTATTATTAAATTGCAAGTAACACCATTTTCAGTTTGATCGTTCCACTTTATTGGTGGACAAATGTTTTTAAGTGTAAAAAATATTTAGAGCTTAGTAAATTTTTCAAGGCATGTTTAAGTATATTCAGTAGTCCTCACGTTGAGTAATCATTCAGCATGATGAACACCATAGTTAACAAAAAGATAAATCGTCTTGATACTTCAACGTACTCAGCTATAGCTTCAGTTAAGTATCAAACAAGACCACAGCACTAGGGTACTTTAAAAGACGAGATATATTATATGAACCAATTAGCAAAAACATCTATGGTCGTTTGCAAACTGCAAGCAAATGCTATTTAAAAAAAATTTAATTCCATCGGAAAAACAGAAAAGTTGAAGAACGTTTTTATAATATAAATTCAAAGCGAAAAAAAAGATTGCCTCACATGAACAATGCAAAGCAGTTAAAGAATTTATTAATGATCATGCAACAAAGTGCAGAAAAAGAAAAGCTGATAAATGTTTTGCAGCATTAAGTTGTAAGAATAAAAAGTTTTAATTTCTGAACCATTGTCTGACATTTTATATTTAAAAAATAAATAAATTATTACGCTATGCAGATTGTTTACGATAAAACTGAGATATTATATTTGATTCAGTAGTTTTTGTTTACTTTATTTATCCTATTACCAACGTTCCAGAATTTACCTACATACCTTCGTCAAATTGTTGACCGTATAAGTTTCTGGGATTTTCTTGTTTTTTATATTAAAACAATGTTCCGGGATTTTCATAGAAAATAATTTCCGGGATTATCACAAAGTCAAAATCTCATCTATGCTTTATAGAGTTAACCTTTTCTGATCCGAGGAAAAAATCTTCCATAATACAACAACAAGTACACTCTTAGCTTTTACAGCTTCGGTGAGTTGTATCTCTGTAAAGCAGTTTTTCATCGAGTAACATCTACAACGAAACTATCTATCAGAACGTACCCCTAAAAGCTCTAACTCATAACCCATCCGTCCTGACTACTTTTGTGGCGTAATAATTTGAATCATGTTCAAAAGTTTGGAACATGGTATAAAAAAACATGATTTTTGTTAAATTATTTCATTTTTGTATCAAAATATGTTACTAAACATAATAATTGACAAAAAGAATAACTTAAAAATATTAGTAAATATTCACTTACCAATTTAATACTTGGTGCGGTGTCTTTGAGCTTTTAAATAGTTAGCTAAATGAGTAAGCATAGAATGAATAAGCTTTCTCAAGTATTCAGAAGTCATAAGCTGAATCTTTACCTGCTTAGTTTTCTCTTGTAAATCATTGGAAGATAAGAGTCTCATCTTCCAATGATCTACAAGTTCCTGTAAATCATTTTCCAGTTTCTGCACTTCATTTTTAAACCAATTGTAGCAATTTTTAATAAGATAGAAGTTGGATGAATTACCAGACCAGATGCCAATGACCTCTATTTTATTCTCATGCACAGTGGGCCAGAATCCCATATTTTTGGAAAAAAATTATGTAGTTACTTGCATGATCATGTAAGTAACTGGTTACAAGCATGACCCTGTAACAGGGTGCTAGATCATGCTGAAATTTTTGGGTATTCGTAAAAATTTTAAGTTTTTTTTTAACGCAAACGTGGTTGCTTAATGTGATAAGCATAAACTTTGATGGGCTGTAATGGCACTCCATAGGGGCAATGTTTTGCAGTCAAAAGCAAATATTGGTAGTTGTGTCGTTGGTAAGCGGGCGTCTAGCCATTGTAGAACGTCAACCAAATTATTCAATTAATGTTTCATCACTAAATATTACATTCGCCCAAATTTTTATTGATTTGTTCTTGTATTTGGTCGTTCACATTTGGTCGTTCAGTTCGGGTTTTGCTTTTTAAAATCACCAGTTTCATGATATTGCTTCAATATTTTTATGATTCAGCTATGTGTTACGTTAAAACGTACAGCGATAGATATCAATACTGTTAAGTGTTCACTTAGAATTACTTGTTCACTTGATTTCAATTTATGATTTATATAAATCTGTAAATTATTACAGATTTATATAAATCTGTAAAAATTTACAGATTTATATAAATCATAAATTGATTTAATTAAAGAAAATATTTTATTTTAATAAAAACCTTCTGCAATAACAAAAACGTGTAAGCTGTTAATTATTTTTAATTAATTATACCTCATACATTATAATAATTATACCTCTTCTAATTGACTAGTAAAATCTAGTGCTGACATGCATTCCGGACAAATAAGCAATGCGTAAATTTAGAACACAGCAGAGGTATTATAATAAAAATAGTTTATCTCTTTTTTAACAATACATTAAAAATATGATTCTAAGTATTTTTCTGTAAACAAAAACTTTTTTTTCAGCATTTTTTTTTTTCAGATATTTTTTCTACTGATCAAGAAGCTTTTTTGGAAGTGAAATGTTAACATTGGTGCCATCAATATATGCTAATGATGGTGCATGATTATGTCAAGTATATATACATACTTATAGATAAAACTATGTTTTAAAATTACAGTGGTTAAAGAAAAAGTTGCAGACTTTAAAAAGATTTTAAGATTTTGTAGAAGTTTAATGTGGAATAAATTAATTAGGATGAGTTCAGCGATAAGAAAAAGTGAGCACATGCTGAAAAATACATTTTATAAAACAAGTGTTTCAAAATGCATTTGTTAATTGTTATTATTTCTTTATTCATCTAAAAACTAATGTTTTACTGAACAATAGTTAAGCTGGGAGTTGATGATTTCAAAAATTTCTTTATTATTTAATAGACGAATAAATAGGTTTATTTTATTTTTTTGTATGTACGTTGATATATCCCGAACTTTAAATAAAGTGTTTATATAGTTTTTGCTATAGTTGGATACATTAAAAAAAACTTTACTGCATTTCTTCCAATTTTATCAAGTCTTTGCTTTGTTAACTCTCTATTTTCAAAGAGTTCTAGACCATGCATTGGCGTTGGAACTGCTAAAGAATTATATAATTGGATAATTAAAGATGGATGTGCAAATCGGATACCATATTGAATCAGAGTTTGCACTGTTGTTTGGAATTTTGATACCCTATTGTAAATATATTATCTATTTAGTAAGACAAAATTGGATTTTTCTGTTTCCTACATGAAGCCCAGACGAGTTAAGTTTTTCATTTGGTGGTCGTATAGGGTTATCTTGCGATTAGTTGTCGTTTTCCGGACAGCAAAAGTTTCGTTTTGACAGCATTGAGTTTTATGCCGTTTAAATATTGTAAACATAACATACTTTAATAAGATTTGTATATGATTTATTTTTACAGTTGTCAATAATTTAAACAAAATAAAAAAGATTAGTAATTGATTCTTCATAATTAATAATTGTAGTTGTATCATTAATTATGAAATAGTTTATCATTAATTTTTATTTTTTGTTTTGGTATTTGAAATAAAAAAAACTTTAATGAAGCAGCTTTTTTACATAGTTATACATTTATTTTAAAATCCTTGATGTTGAAATTTCAACTTTTAAAATCTCAAGCTTCAAGTGTCCGAAGTCACCCTATTTCCGATTTTGATTTTTTTATTTTTAGACCGTTTTTTTATACTAATAACATTTTGGGAAGCTGAAAGTCAATATTTCTTCATGTTCTTTATATTTACAGTGGTGCGATCCTCGAAAATATTTCCATTTTGTATTAATTTAATGAAACAGTTTAATATTTTCTTACAAAATTATCTGTAGTCACCCCACACTGTGGAAAATCAAGGTCTGTTTTGGATCAAAAATCAATAACTTTTTTGTTACTAAAGATTAAGTGTTGAAATTTTGAAGAAAAAAAGAAATATATTTTATATAAAAAAAAATATATATATAAAATTTGTAAATAAAAATTCAAAAATTCAAAACTTTCATTTTTTATTTTATTTTAACTAAGCATGTTCTTTTTAATAGGCACTTCAGTCACGTGACTTTTTCCGTGTGACAAGCTTAGAATATTAAACATAAGCGAATTTTTCCGCAACTTTTTCGGGAATTTTTTCATAGTACCCAATTTCAAACCCAATTGCCAGTTATATTTCACTGGCAAAAATTGAAAAAAATTGTTGATTTGTGGAGATTATTTTTCAATATTTTTAAAAAAGAAGCTAGAAGATTTTTTTAAGTCGTTTCCTCGATAGTTTATTTTATTAACACTTTTTGACTAGTACATATACAGTTTTAAATTGCTTTTTTTGGGTTCTAGCACATTAAAAACTATTATTTAGCCTATTAAATTACAATATTTGATACTTTTTTTAATACTAATTAGTTTTTATATCAGGAGTTAACAATTAAAAAAAAACACTTTTATTTTTCTTGACGGCACTCCGTTCAACGTATATAGTTAGTTATTTAGGATAAACTGGCTGCGTCCTTATTCTGGACGATTCTCAAAAAGATATTTAATGCAGGGTTGTACTGGTTGCTTTTAAAAAAAAACGATATTTAGACTTTATAATTTATAAAAGTACAGTTTGAAGTACTTATTGACTCGTTAACTGTTTTGAGAACGTTTTTTAAAAT